AAGGGGTAATCCGTCTTCTCATGGATGGATACCTGGCCTAAGGACGTGAATTCCCAGATAAAGTCCGCGGACTGGTAGACGACGACGAAGCTGGTGTTCTCAATGGTCATCTCAATGCCGAACCGGATGAGGAAGTACCAGAGGAATGCCGACTTTCCGACGCCAGGATTCCCGTTGAGGAGCCCTAACCAATCCATAGACACTGCAGCTTCTATGGCCGAGTAGAGATCATCGAAATCCTTGCGCACGTACAGCCTTGTAATGCCTCGAGGTCCTCTCAGGGTTCGATATTTCGCAGGCACACTCAAATCTATGAACTTGCCAGCGGCGTATACTTCCGGCTGTTGGTTGAGCACCCCTCCCCACCACGCGCTAAGCGCCGCCCCGGTTTCGCTAAACTTCTCATCAGTTCGCAAACGCTTCCTACCATCGATCGTCGCTGGACTCCGACTCCGACTCCGGCACCCCATTCGACCCTTAATTGGATCTAGGTTCCATGTTTTCCTTTCATTTATTAAGCACGTTTCGCTTTTTTACCCGAGAATTTGGGCCGTTGGATGGAGCCGCCAGATATACGTAAAATATTCTGGCTCAAAGGGATGAACGCTTTAGGATAGAAACCCGGGGGTGGGGAGGGGTGCTTATACGCCGCTGGCAAGTTCATAGATTTGAGTGTGCCTGCGAAATATCAAGCCCTGAGAAGACCTCATTACAAGGCTGTACGTGCGCAAGGATTTCAATGATCTCTACTCGGCCATAGAAGCTGCAGTGTCTATGGATTGGTTAGGGCGCCTCAACGGGAATCCTGGCGTTGGAAAGTCGGCATTTCTCTGGTACTTCCTCATCCGGTTCGGCATTCAGAAGACCATTAGGAACACCAGCTTCGTCGTCGTCTTCCAATCTGGGAACCTTATCTGGGAATTCACGTCCGAAGGCCAGGTATCCATCCATGAGAAGACGGAGTACCCCTTGAGTCGATTGGAGGAATACCTCATTGACCAGAAAATTGAGAGTGGAGATCCTCTGGGCAGCAGGGTATTGGTAGCAGCATCAAGAGCGTGAAGCCAGTAGGGGTTCTTCGTTCACCCTTGGGATAAGGACGAGTTTGAGGCGTTGCTAGGCCTGTGGAAGCTTGAGAGCAAGGAAATGCGGGAAGAAGCTGATAGACTGCTGAAAGAAGCTGGGAGTAGCGAGCCGAGTGACTGCCGGTGCATCATGTATTCGAAACAGTCGTCTCCACAGCTGGCACTTCTGAACGAGGCAGATCAGTTGGATGCACGCATCAAAGCAACTGACTTGTACTACGATTGGTACGGTGGAATTCCTCGTCTACTTCGTCAAGCAGCAGTTGATATTTGCTGGATTTCACATCCTTGAAGATAAAGCACCTCTTCAGGGAAACACTTGCCCGCTCAAAGCTGGAAGACTTGGTGATATTTCTACAATCCACTGATCCTGCTCTGGAAGAATTTCAAACCACTTTGAGCTCATGGTGAGTTTAGAATTATCTATAAACCCTCATAAACCATCTTATAAGATAGTAATTGCTGGATAAGTACAAAAATCATTAAGTTTATATAATTTTTTTTATTCTATATATATACACATACATATACATATACATATAGACATATACACACACACATATATATGTATATATATGTATGTATATATATATATATATATATATATATATGTATGTATGTATATGTATATGTATGTATATATATATATATATATATATATATATATATATATATATATATATATATATATATATATATATATATATAGTTGTAAGATGGTTTATGAGGGTTGATAGATAATTCTAAACTCACCATGAGCTCAAAGTGGTTTGAAATTCGTGGAGAGCAGGATCAGTGGATTGTAGATGAGGGTTGATAGATAATTCTAAACTCACCATGAGCTC